GAGAAAGGCCCTAAACACCCTGTTGCTCCAGGATCAGTAAAACCCTGATTTCTCAACTATGTATGTTGCTTTGAATAAAAGTTCATGCTAAATAACTAGAACGTAAGTTGCCTATTTTTTCTTTTTTTCCAAAAAGCTTTGATTGTTCCTATATGATTCTTATATGCAAATAGTATGATTTCTTAGTTATGAGTATTGAATTATGCATCCCTCTCCATCTTCTAACAGCTTTTCCTAGTCAGGGTATAGGGCAGCGTGAGGCACGAGGCTGGACTGCACCCTCTTTGGGATGCTAGTAAATTATGTATAGTAGTGTCTCCGTATCTGCAGGTCATACGTTCCAAGACTTACCACGGGTGGCCAAAACCACGGAAAAAAGTGAACCATCCGTGGACTCCAACGTGTTTTTTGTAATGATACATACGGTAAATTTTAATTGATAAATTACACCTAGTAAGACATTACCAACATTTAAATATAGTAATAATAAAGTAAATTGTACATTATTATACAGCACAGTACAGTACTGTTCTCTGTCTTGAATAAAAGGAATTCTGATGTTGTATCCTAATTCTCAAGAGATGATAGAGCAATGACAAACCTTAACATATCAAGGGGTGGTGGAGTAATGAAAATCATGCTTTTTATACTCCTCAAAGAATGAAGGGACAATGAAACATCATATTGTTAAACATTTGACAATGAAAAATATTGTATCATGTACCTAACCTTCAATCCTGGACTGGTGGATTTCACATTGTTACAGCGGGTACTCGCTTGGTGCATGGTTTGCGACTTACCCCTGTTTTACACTGGATGCGTATCCACTGCAGTGCGACTGTGCTGCATTCCCATTCCATCCGAGGCCGTCAGCCAATTCGCACTGGATGCGTTTGTGGTCCGTATTTGATCTGGCGCGCCGCTGGTTTGCGAGATCACATGATCACGGGAGAACATTTATCATAACATTTATCTATGTTTCTATGGATAAAATAATGTGTCACTCCCATGTAGGTTACTGAACACTTTATTAGGAGTTTACAAGTACTTTACAGTACAGGTTACTTTCATTAAAAATCAAGTATTTACATGGTTAATTGGAATATTCAACTTACCGTCAAATCCCAAAACTTCTGCAGTTTCACTCCACGCCTTCTCCTTTCTACTATTGTCCTTGTAAGAAGGATGTCTGGGGTCTTACACAATTCCATGTTTCTCCACCTCCAAAATTAACTTTTCGTCGTCCATGATGTGAAGGGGAGTTGGCGCATGCGCTCTGTGTTACGTTTTTGATCCGTATCCATCAAAAATAGACTTGATGTGCATCTCGACGGACTGCCGGTGTTCTGTCGAAATGAGCTACTTTGTCGAGTTATCCTACCGTAGTGCTAATCGATAGTCCTAACCCTAACTCTTACCCTAACCCTAACCGTAAACCCCCAAACCCCCTAAAACTCTTATCCTAACCCTAACCCAAACCCCTAAAACCTAACCCTAATCCCAAGACGGTGGAACTGCATATGCGCAAACAGGCTCGATAGTACGTCTCGATAGGTAGTTCAACTCGTCAGAACACCGGACATGTGACGTGACGGAACAGAGACATAGCAGAGACACAACGCAGCGGTTCTGGTGTAAACTGATGCATTTACTTTATTGGCGGCGATTACCCACGGCTGCCATGTCGGAAACGCACCGCAGCGGACACGCATCCAGTGTAAAACAGGGGTTATGGTCTGTTTATTTCTGGAATTATCCCATTTTTTTCAGACCACAGCAAACCAAAGATAGCTAAACCTGCTGTTACTGAAACTGCAAATACGGGGGTCCCACTCTACATTCGTAGACTACCCTCATTATAATAAATCAGGTATCTCAGTTTTAGTGGATTTTTATTATATTTTTAAACAGAATAAACGTCCAGATTCTTAATGTACATTTACCAGCTCCATTAGGTGCATCATGGCAATAAAAAACCACTGATTGTCTAGTGAGAGAAAAGATTTTTTTTAAAGGGCAAAATGCGAAACCCCTTTTATTAAAGGTGGTGATATATTGCCGTTAGTAAAAACTACCACTGCCGCAATTCCGTCAGTTAATTGCAGTGTGATACAATCTTTTGTGTTAACAATGCCTCCTCAAAGACACCCTCCAATTTATAAGACAAATTTGGGACAAGTAAATTACCTCCTACACCTAATAGACAAGAATAGGTGAAAACTATGAGTCAACAGGTAAACTTTGGGGAAGTAATGATTGGTCCTATACAGTGTTTACACCTGGATGAAAACTTAGATATCAGCATTATTTACATAGGAATCAATACTAAATGCGTGTGCTGTCTGGTTGGTACTCTTGGGGTAAGGATGTGGCCTTCTGACCCAAAATCTGTTGCTTTGAGCCCAGCTGTAGAATCAATAAGAAAAATGTTCAATCTTGATTTCAGTATTCAGTTGTGTGTATATATAGAGTTGTGTGGCTCTTCTGTAAATGAACTTGAGATGGTGGAATTAGNTGTAGTGGAAGCTAAAACCATGGGTTCCTTTAACTCAGAGCTAGATAAGATTTTAACAACTCTGAGCTATTAGCTAAGTTCTCCCCAAACGAGCTTGATGGGCCGAATGGCCTCCTCTCGTTTGTAAATTTCTTATGTTCTTATGTTCTTATATAGTTAAGCTGTGTAAAATACAGAGGTGGATAGTTCAAGTCCAGAAAGTAAAAATCCCGACCAAGATTTTGTTTCAATCAGGTGAGTATAAAGAGTCACAGTCACAGAGCGTTGTTTAACAGTATATACAAATTCAAAACTATCATTGAAATAATTAAATGCATAGCGTATAAGATATGAAGGTAATGTGTTTCAAAACTTTCTCAGGTGCAAATGCTTGATAAATCTACTCAAAGGTATTGAGTTTTAAATAATTTTGCCTGATTAGTACATGATCAAAAACTTTTGTGTTGACTGCCTCCCCTGTCATGCTGATCAATATTCATGGTAACACTTTATTCCATGGGGCACAAATACTTAGTAACAACTCAGTTACTACTGAAGTGCAAATTAGGGTCAAATCATGAACAAATATAGTTGTTACTTGAGATAAAAGATGTGTCATGATTCATTAATGATGAACAAACATGAGATCAGTATTTAACTTGTGTTATTCGTCATTTGTTCTTTCAGTCATTCTTTAGTAGTTCCTTCAGTAATTAACAAAGTTTTACAGAATTAAGATAGTAACTGCTTGGGATGAAAGATGCATAATGATTAATTAATGATGAATAAATGTGTTATTCATTACTTGTTCCTTTAGTAGTTCTTTCAGTAGTTCAGAAAGAACAGCTATAGTAACAAATATAGTAACTGCTGAGATAAAACATGCATCATAATTTATTAATGATGATTTAATGCGTGATTAGTATGTAACTAAGACTTAGTCTGTGGTTCATTAGTGCATAAGTAATAGTATAATACTACATTATTTTAACTCCATCAAGTGAAGTGCTACCATATTTACAGATGCAATGCATTTGTTCACTGTTTTTAAAAGTTTTGTATAATCCAAACTCATGACTTGAGGCAACATCTGGATTTTGCTTGCCATTCATTGAATCACTGGACCTGCTGTCTCACTGGAATCCTGCTGTGTGGAAAAATGGCAGTGTGGTTTTTATTTGCACTGTCCGTTGGCATGTTTGGCCGCCTTGAGTTTTGATGTCAAACAGGGCATCCTTGGTCTATTTATTTGAATAGGCATTGGCTTTATTATTTATTAAGACGCTGACTTTCTTTTTCTGATGATTGTGGTCCTTCCACACGATGTGTGCAGTATGCATTATACACACGCTCTGATGTGCAGTTGAGCTACTCCCGTAAGTATAATTTAGAGCATTCTCATTTCTCTGCTGCAGAAGCAATTACAATTTAAATGCAATTCTCTGATTAAGTATCCCATCCATCCATCATCATAACCACTTATCTGGTACGAGATCACATTGAGCACAGAACCTGTCTCAGTTTGCATAGAACGGGGGCTGGAATGCCAGTCGATTGTAGATGTCACATCTGGACAAGGATCACAATCCACTTGCAGCTTATGAACACAAGGACACTGGACTCACAGGAACAAGAAACAAAAAACGGGTCTGAACAAAGGCAGGACAGCAATAAAAGTACTAATAAAGACTAGAACACTGGGAAAGAATGGAGGAATTACACAGACTCAAACCAGGAAAAACAGTGGGGAGCAACAAACAACAAGCATGTCCTGGACCTACAACATATACACCTACAATGACTGACAGAGGAACAGGGTAAGGGTAGGCACATATATATATATATATAATATAGGTGTGGGCTATTAACAATCACAAAGCAAACAGGATACCAACACTAGGAAATACGAGGAACGCAGGAGTAACAGGATATAACTACAGTACAAAACTATATGCACGTGAGGATAGCTAATAACAAAGACACAAAACTAGAACTAATGCAGAAATACATAAACACAAGAAACATCATAAACACGGTGTACACAGAAAAAGCTCTATGGCACAAAACAGAAAATATCCAACGGCTGTTAGGTATTTACGATTACTTAGCAACACATTCAGCCACATGGTGACCCAGGGAATAGGGGAAAACACTATCGGTAGTGGAAGGTACTAAACACAGAGACAACAATGGGACAATGACATCTGCTGGCCAAATGGGGAAGAACGGACAGAATGGGACGAGGCAGGGACTGACCCTGAGAGAAGGGCAGACAGTGCCACTCCCTCAGCTACCCTGCTGCCCCTAAGAATGTATCCTTTAACATACATTATAAAGAGACACATTTTGCTGGTGGGAAGTATAGTTTTGAAAATTTATTCTTAATGTTTTCCTAGCAGCGCTAAATGGTTGAACGTGAAGAATGCTTGTCCATACAGCCTACAGCCTTTTCATTCATTTTCAAATCTTGTCTATGACCTCCCTCCATTCCCCAATCTGTCTGTAGGGGGGATTTTTGAGACCCTGGAGAATGAGCCAATAAGTGTAGAAGAACTAGCCTTCAAATTTGCCGTCACCAACATAAACCGGAACCGAACTCTGATGCCAAACAGCACGCTGACATACGACATCCAAAGGATAAATCTGTTTGACAGTTTTGAAGCTTCCAGGAGGGGTGAGTTTGGTATCATTACAATATGACGTATTGCGCTACAGTTTAGGGAATGTTAGCTAAAGGGGGTTGTGCTACTGAAGTAATGAGGTTGTTTAATAATGGAGCAGTGAAAAAATACATTTGAAAATTAGAACTGAATAAATTACCCAAAGTTCCAATTAATCAGTGGCAACTGAGTGAAATGAAGCAACGTGAAAAAGGGTGGGAGATGGGAGATGCTGAGAGTCTTATGGTGGGGAGAGTGACTTGCGCCCCCCCGCCCCCCCCACAGCCTGTGACCAGCTCGCCTTGGGTGTCGCCGCAATATTTGGCCCCTCCTACAGCTCCTCAGTCAGCGCGGTCCAGTCTATTTGCAATGCCCTTGAGGTGCCCCACATCCAGACCCGGTGGAAACATCCTTCTGTAGATAACCAGGACACCTTCTACATCAACCTGTACCCCGAGTACACCTCCATCAGCCGCGCCATCCTGGACATCGTGCAGTTCTACAAGTGGAAGACCGTCACTGTGGTATACGAGGACAGCACAGGTAGGTGGGCGGAGCTTCTGAGAGAGGGCACTGTGGGCAGGGTGAATGTTTTGGTGCTTCAGCATCTTTAGCTAATTAGGGTGTGTGAGGAGAGCTTCCGGAAGCTTACAGTCAGTTGTTTTAGTCCACTCAGGTAGCTACTCTCAGGATAGCTTTGGGGGGTTAATTCTCTGTCCTCTCAGCTGGCGTTCCAGCCAAGTCTAAATCCGGCACAAATTGAAGTGTATCCTGAGACCTGCAACTCAGCCAGTAGCTGCTGACTCCTGGTTTATAAAGGCCCAGTAACTTCTTCCTCACGAAAATTGCATTAAAACATTCTGTGATAAATACATTATAACATATGCCTTGGGTAAAACAAAATTCTGCACAGTAAGCAATTAATGAATTTTGCTCTCGAGTCCTTTTGTGTGGATGAAAGAAGAAAGGGTTAGCTTGTCTCCTGTACAAAATGTGCATGCGCCATGGTAAACCCTACTAACCCTAGTCGAGAACCCTTTCAAACAGAGGCCATATTAGTTCTGGGTCAGGATATGAGATGGCGGACCGTGTCCCAAAGACCTGGGCAGGTTATTGCTTTTCACAGTAGGGCTTTCATTCCAGGAAACTTTATTGCCCTTTTCTGAATGAAAGCTGAACTCTCGCCAGGCATTCGCCTTGCTATACACCTCCCTACCTACCCTGAAGTGTTGCATCAGGCAGAGAGAAATGGTAACCTCCGCAATCCCTTGTTTTAATTAAACCACCCGTTTAATGCATCAGTGATCCACTCAAAATACATCGAACTCCACCGGAGGGCCAAGTTTAGGAAACCCATTTGGGAGATAAAAGTAAGTGACAGAACCAGCAAACAGAAGTGTCCTTCACTGACAGAGGTCTTAATGTGGTGTCAATGGGACACAAATGATTGCAGCCATAGCTACCAGGGTCTTTACAATCAGAATGAACTCTACCCTAATATGCTACAGAGTAACCATTTGATTTCCACTCGTCTCATTTGTTCTCTAGGAGCATATGAAAGCATGCAAAGGTATATTTGTACTCAATGTTCCTTCACTGCTTCACTGCAAAGGACCTCATGGAGATTATGGCCATGTCTGGTGACTGCACGATCCATCACGCTCTTATAATTTTGCTGTGGTAAATGAAGTTAAATCAATGGGGTGTTGCTTTCTCCGCATCAGAGTTTCCATCTACAAAACGTTTACACAGGATGCATTATTATTGTGTGTTGCTTTTGTTGTTTTTCTGCATGTTGTTCAGCTGTGGTTTCCCATTAATCTGATAAGAGGTCTGTTAAGGACAGTTTCGTTGATGTATAACAGGTTGCAGAACTGAGCCAGTGGCAGTACAGTACGTCTGGTGTCTGAAGTCATTATATGCCGATCACTGTTGCGATCGCTAAGCTTGGAGAGGCCTTCTTTGTGAAGGGAGTGTAGAAGTGCAATTGTGCTGAAACTAAGCAGCATTCTTAGGGGGCGGGAGTGCAGCCATTGTCAGCCCTCTCTGAAAGCGGCTCAGGTAATTAGCGGAACAGTGCAAGGATGATGCATAAAGTGGGATTCCGTCGATTCGTTTTTCCGTTATTTGGACCACTGATCAGTGACTGAGGACAGATCTTGAAAGAAGTAATTGACCAAGTTCTTCTTACTGGTCTCCTCAACTGATATGATTAATCAAAAGTCACTAAGCACCCCTGCCCTAAAAGTCTCTGGGGAAAATTTACAACCTATCCGTTTGTAGTACTGCTAATGGCTGTAGATGAGATACAACCACAGTTGCTAACTTCCTTGAAACAGGGGAACACCAGTCAAATATCTAATATAACTTCATGTGAGTCTATGGTAGATTTATGGTATGTGTCATTCATCAAATCCATTACGATGCAACAGAATACCGTGCATCACTGGCTTGAAAAAAACTAATCAAGAGATACATTATCTTTTGAGTGTGATTATCTTGACTGTCATGAAGACAGAGGGTCGTGAAAGAAATTCATCATGCGATTAGCGAGACTGAAATAATTAGCTTAATGAGACACCTCCATGCTTAGTTATTATTGTGACTAATCTACAGCATTACTACACTGGTTCTTTGATTTATACATTACATGCTGCAGTTTCAAGCTAACAGTCATATACAGAACAAATCAAGGGCTCCTTTCTGTTTAAGTAAATGCATCAAGAAACTTAAATATAACTTAAACCAGTGTTTCCCAGCTTGGTCCTCTGCGACCTGCAGATGTTCCACGTTTTTGGCTCCCGAGCAAAAACATGGATTGTTTGGAAATTGACTTAGTTAATAACACTACGCAGAGTCAAGGCTTTCTGTGAAGACAGACTGATGTTCCCCATTAGGAAATAACAGAACCACTACTGTGGGCTTCGTCTTGCAACAACAATGACCATTCCTGGCTAATAAAACTGATTGATAGTGACACTAAACTGTACAATCTCAGATCTTAACTCTGCTCCTGTGGGAAACTAGGGGTTTTGTTTTGCCTCATAAAGAAGAGCAACAGCCCTGAACTTAGTTATTTTGACCATAAAACACAAACAGTGATGGAAAGTGAAAGACGTAAGGCAAACTTACAATGTAATGTTTATTTAAATCAGAGTGGGATGTGTCTCAATGGTTCAATGGACACTGGGCATTAAAGTTAAGAGTATAAATGGGATAAGACTCCTGAAGTGTCCTTGAAGAAGGCTTAAGCATCCTTTAGACCATGCAGATATAGAGAGAGGTGTGCAACTTTAAGCCAATTTGGATAAATGAATCCATAAAGTAAATGTTATTGAATTAAGAGATGGAATATTTAATTATATGGATAGTACTCTGCACCAGCTACAAAGTTTCCAATGACTTCAGAGAAAAATCTTTAAGACTTCTTTAATTGGAAAATCATCTGAGTTCTTGCTATGGATATGATCATGTCACCCGTAAGTTTGTGACTGTGAGGAAATTAATTATGTCTCTGTCCAGTAGTAACCTTTTTGACTCTAATGCCATAGAACTCCATGTTTGTGAAAGGAGAATTAAATGTGTTCCAAATATGCAGGTGGATTATGATAACAGACAATGTTGTTTTGCTTTTTCCATTCCACAATGAAGTTAGTGAATATTAAAGTAACAATTCTCCCTATGGGTCTGTTAATCTGTTTTCCATGCAGAATATAAACAGACTGTTGCATACTTAAATGGTTACTATTTTTTCTCTTTTTTTTTGAGGATTAATACGTCTTCAGGAGCTGATCAAAGCCCCATCCAGATACAACATTAAAGTCAAAATCCGGCAGCTGCCAGCGGGGAACAGGGATGCACGACCTCTGCTGAAAGAGATGAAGAAAGGGAAAGAGCTTTATGTCATCTTTGACTGCACACACCAGACCGCTGCCGACATCCTGAAGCAGGTGGGACCACGGCATTTTTACCTTTTATATAGCATCTCTCTTGAACGTGGTTGGCCTATAAAACAAACGTGTTACATCTCATTGGCTTGATAAATGAAAGCCGAAACAATGAATATATAAAAAAGTGTTGCCCAAACATGTGGTGGTGAGATATGTGTTCCGGAGTTCAAGGCCTTGACACAGAGTTGTAATTCATGCCATGCAATTTACTCCCGTGACTTTGCATTTGAAATGCAAAGCATATTTAGATAAACTGGCGGTTTTTAGAAAAAGCATTAGGATGTTATCACTCGTTTACAACATTTCGACTGAGGAATAAAATGTAGGCTAGTTTGTCGGTAAAAAACCTTTGCGGACGGGATAATCTATAATAAGGACACGGCTGTCAAGGTTGGGAATATATTTTAAAAAGCCATTAAAGCTTGGATGGATATTTCATTGAAAAACCACAGCGGAATATATTAAGGTCACGGTGGGTCTTTAGGCAATGTGCTCAAGATCTATTTCTTTGGCTAGATGTCTAGTAAAATTAGACCAGAACTGAGCTGAGCTAAAATTTACAGCATATCACATTATATGTAAATATGCACTAATTTATATGTATATGCACACCTTAAATGGGTAAAACCAGAAAAATGTTTAAAGTGAGCAAATTAATTAATTGAATATTCCCTGGGCTGCATATTTCATGCATTCCTGTGAATGGACAGAGATTGCATGTTTAATATTTATTTGCTCCATCTTGCCTGGGATTTATCGCTGGAAAAAGATAAAGTCCCTTTGGTCCCAGTGGAACACAGTCCAGTCCAGAAGACAGACTTCATCTCTGGCTAGATACAGAAATTTAAAACCAAAGAGCGTGAACGTAAGATTAATAGGAAACAGTGAGTGAATGGGGATTTATTTTATTTTTTTATAAATATATCAGGACGTATGGGGAGCGGGTGCCAGCTTTGGCCACATCGTGTCACTGAGTATTACATTAGCTGTGGTGGCCTCTCTCTCCAATGATGTGTTATTGAGTTACTGTTCTCTTTCCTGTAGATCCTGTCCATGGGAATGATGACTGAATACTATCATTTCTTCTTCACCACACTCGTAAGGGCTTGAGTACAAGATTTGTTGCGGAATATTTGTTCCAGTCAATCTCATCATCAACACGTAAAACTATTTACGTTTACGTTTACAAATTTAGTATATGCTTTTGTCCAAAGCAATGTTACCAGATTCTTTAGAGAGGTATTTAGCAAGAAAACATGTACTGTTACTTCAAATTGTCAATAGGTTAATTAATGAATTAGCTGAATTGAAAATGGAAATAGGAGATAAAAAGATTTCCTGCAGAAAATACAGAATCAGGACATTCCAACTTTCTGAGAAACGATACCTTGACTTCACATTGTTACTAGGGTGATGAATTCATTACATTCAATCAGCAGATGCTTTAATCCAAAGCAGGGTCAGACCCTTCCTGTAGCAACCTTTGCATCATGCGCAGAGCATGCCAAACACACCACCAGTCTTGTATGTTTTCTACTTGGGGATTTACAGCCAATTGTCTTCTGTCATCTCATGTCATGTTCGCATGTTATGATGGCAAAGGTACAGTGAGGTTGCTTTGTGAAACCTAACATGGGTTGACCTCAGATGACTACCTTCAGATGGGGTAATCTCAGACTAGCCTTAGATGGACTAACCTCAGACAGTAAACCTTAGACGGGTTAACCTCAGACAGTAAACCTCGGAGGGGTTAACCTCAGACGGGTTAACCTCAGACAGGCAAACCTTGTGATGGCAGGACCTGTTTGCCCTGGACCTCCAGTCTTATCAGTACAGCGGTGTCAACATGACCGGCTTCCGCCTCATCAACATGGACAGCCCCCGCGTGGCTTCCGTGGTGGAGAAGTGGTCCATGGAGAGGCTGCAGGCTCCTCCCAAACCCGAAAGCGGACTCCTGGATGGCATGATGACGGTAGGTGGATGCTGGATTGGCCCCGCTGCCTTGCTCACCCAGCATCATTTGGCTGACCCTCAAACACCATTCATCTGACTTGGAACATCCTTTATCCGGCCATCTGGTCCACGAATACTTGCACTCCCCGTCTGGGCCCTGTCTTTGCAGACCAAGGCAGCCCTGATGTATGATGCAGTGAGCATGGTTGCTGTAGCTGTCCAGCGATCCACACAGATGACCGTTAGCTCGCTGCAGTGCCACAGACACAAGCCCTGGCGCTTTGGACCGCGGTTCATGAACATGTTCAAAGAGGTAGGACCATCTGTTCACCCCCCCAGGCCCTACCACTGGCTTATACTCAGTGTCCAATTAAGGTTGATGCATTAAAATTATAGTTCAGCATTAACATGGACTTGTTAATGTGGGCCTTGATATATACATGCACCAGCAGGAGCACAGAAATTGCTATATGTAATTAGACCATTTGCATGCAAGCATTAAACAGTGCTTACATCACCAGTCTGCTACAAGCAATAGCGAAAAGCGGCGCTGTCTCTGAGATCACACTTTCTAATATAGAACTGCCTGATATTTGAGCTCGCTGAAAAAAAAAGAGGTTAATTTACTTTATGGGAATGTTATTTATTTTATTCACTGCCGTATTTCCCTTCCATTACTGTTCTCAGAGTTTCATTTTAATTACCCAGTTTAAATGAGGCTTTTTTCTGCTTTATTAGTCTTAGGTTTTAGAACGGGTAAAAAATGTTTGCTAATTAAGCCATCGTTTATTGAAATTGCTTGCATTTGGATGACCTCTGATTACCAATGATTAAACCTCTCCGGCACCCATCGGGCTTCAATGCTAATTAATTCCAAGTAGCACTGAGACAACAATTCATTGTAAATTAAGTACATAAGTGGGTCAGTGGATTTTGCAGAAGAGTGAAAATGATGGATTTACGGGAAACAGGACCAATCACACGCACACAGCCTTAGAGAATGGGAATAACGCTGGCCTGTTGAACGAAGACCTTGAAATCCTTTCACTTACCTATGCAGAGTTGGTGAGCTTCAGTGTCACTGATGCTTTGTCACCTGCTAATTAGGAATAGGGTCTCTGAAGCATTAAAGCACTCTGCTCCTTACGGGGGGGGTGGTGATGCTTTATGTCTTGGCTAGATGTTTCACTATTGCCCCCCCCCCACTCCCCACCAGCAGACCGATGAGATGCCTGCAGCTATTCAGGGGAGGTACTGTATGCTGGGTCACTTTCTCCTGCAGAGCATCACGAGCAGGATAGTGGGTGAACTGGTGCAGAGACTCTCCAAAAAGAGCCCAGATTGTTTTGCACCACTTGGGTGGATGTAGGTGGCGCTTTGATTAAATTGTGGTGCAAGTATGGGAGTCGATCATCAGAGCTTTAAAGGAGGAGGAGAGCGAGTATAAACAAATGAGATGATAGTTGCACACAGAGAAACCTTTGTTCTGGACTCGGGATGTGCCTCACTTTGATGTACGTCCCCACGGACCTGCTTTGGATCTCATGGATCTATAATGTTGTTATTATACTTCACTCCTTTGCTTTGTAATTCAGCTCTGAAAAGATTAATGCAGCTGCAAAGAACAAACATAAGCAAGTGAGCTCTGTGATTTTTTTTTCCTGTTTTCTTTAGTTTTCCTCTAATCCAGCCCCTAATTCTGCAGCTCTTCTGCATTTTTGATTTGATTTTTTTTTTGCCGGTAGAAGCTCACATGCCACACATCCCTTTATGAAAAATCCGTGGCCTTTATTTGAGTGCCGGTTTGATATATCAGCACCGTCATCCAGTAAGACAAAAGCACAGTAGCGGTGAATAACAGCAGTCTTTAAAAACGTCTAATTCCACTCGCCTCACCAGCACAAACTGCTAAACGAACCAGCGTTTGACAGATTGTCTCTGTCGCTCCGCATTCTTGTCAAGGCTGAGCAGTATAAACCAAGCCTGTGGTTTGTGGGTGATAACCTGAGGTTTGGCTGCGTGGGGCTTGCTGTTACTCTCAGTTTTCACTGAGCCTGCCTGCAGAGGCTGATGGAAGGTGTATTTGATCGTAATACAGATTGCCTTTACTCTTCAGCGATTCTGCCTGACTTGCATTTCATGCGGTATCGCCATTGCCGAGAGCCGACTGCACACAGGGCGCTGCCCCATAACCCAAGTGCCCCCGCCCCAGTCTATAGACAAAGTGCATCCAAAAGGAAATCAACAGCCGTCACCAGACTCACAGAGCCAACCGACGAGATTTGGAGATGATACAGACTGAATTGGGGATTAAATGCAAGAAGGCTGAAAGCCGAAAGCATATAAATCATGCAGGAAGGTAACAAATATGCTGTCCTCGCTGTAAAATGTGCGGGAGAATCAATGATGTTAAAGAGTCATCAAATTTTATTTTTATACAAAACACCAGCTCATGTCCAGTGCATTTCTCAAAACAACAAAAGCATCCTCTGCCCAGTATCCTGTCAGTCACCAGTTTATTTCCATAACACTGCCTGCTGATCCTTACTGTAGATTTGAATAGTAATTCTCCCGGAAAGTACCTTTCGATGTT